ATAAAAGACAAAAATCTTCATTTGCGTTACGTAGTTTAGCGACGGACTAGGACCCATATCTAACAGAGAGGGGATCTTTGCCAATGAACATCTGGCAGTTCACCAGCATTGGTTCAAGTGAGCCTGGCTCTGCTGATGACACGATGAATGTTGAAACCGGCCAATCGTAGTTTCTATGTACAGATTGAATCGACCCTGCTAAAATGCTGCTCAACTCCTAGAAGGCCGTGTGCCTGATGAGACGTGTAAAAAAAGTACTCGGCTCTTGTATGTGGAGGTACAGGTACGAGATGGAGTTGTGCACTGTCCGCTTAGTTATTTTGCTCGGCTATTTCTCCACCTGCATGCTGCCCCGGCTGCCCCGGCTCGCCCGGCTGCCCGCTGACGTGGTAGTGGAGCAGCACGGCGTACACGTGCTGCCGGGCGGTGCGGTAGAGGCTCGCGGCCGACGGCAGTCCCCCGGGGCCGCCCTCCCCCTCCTCCGTCACCTCTGCCGGCAGCCACACCTCTCCCTGCACGCGGGGGCCCACCCACCAGCCCGCCCGCCCATGGTGCCGGGGCAGGAGGGGGGGAAAGATTCGGAGGATCACACAGAGATCGTTCATCAAGCGAGTGCGTGTGGGTACGGGCGCCAGCGTTGTTACGGCGAGGGGCGGTCGCCACGCGGGAAGGCACCGCTCTTTCAAAGACATAGGCCAAGGTGGTAGCTTCGCGACGTTGCTGCCGTATAAGTTACGCGATGTTGCGGTGCCATTTTTCATATTTGGTAAAATTTGGACCAAGCAACGGCCCACGGGAACGTTGACATCAGACTGTGCAGCAGACGGTGCGTAGTTTACGGATAACGTTCCTGCAGCGATAACCAGGGCGACCTGCTGGATTCGAACCGCGGACATATATTTCCGCTGGGCCGCGTCACCGCCCGTGATGGCCGTACAGACTCTCACCACAGACAAAGATCCCCGTATAACAGATTGCTGTGACAAGTGCTGTTCGCGAGCATCTACGAAGGCTGGCACGGCACACGAGGGATTGGGTAGCCAGCACCACGCCCGGCCACTTTTGTCTCCCTTGTGGCAATATTCACGCATTGCAACAGGAACGCATTTATGGCCGAGTGGACCTAGGCGAGGCCCAGGACCGGTTCAGATAATAGTCACTGGTGTTAGCCATGAGCAGGAATCGAACTCTGGTCGCCCAGGTTCGTAGCGCAACGCGCTACACTACTATGCACACAAACACGCGCGCACCATGCCGACGACGTGGAGCAGGAAGGGGTGAATCTCTCCCCGGCGGTGGAGCCACTCCACCTCCTGTACGAGCTCGGCGGGCGCCAGCCGCTCCACTGGCTGCCCCGCCGCCGCCGCCGCCCCGTCACCGGGGGGTGCCCACTCGCCGCTGCGGGCCCCGCCCCCGTCGTTGTGGAACGCGGCCCGGCCGGCGTCATAGTAGCGGAGAGACGCGCACAGCAGGTGCAGCTGCTGTGCGCGCTGAGGGAGGCAGCGGGAGAGAAGACTTGCAGCAAAAGATAAAGATGCCCCCGTGTAGCCTTAACAGACTTTTGGGGCAAGTGCTACTAGCGAGTATCAGAACCTATGAGGGTCGGTACAACACACGAGGTGTTTGGCCAGCACCACGAACGACCGCCTTTGTCTCCCCAGTGGCGATGTTAACGCACCGCTCCTAGGCACTCATTTGAGGCTGAATCAACCGAGGGGAAGCCCAATACCGGTCCAGATAATCGTCACCGGTGTTGGCCACGAGCAGGAATCAAACTCGCGTCGCTGCGTCTGAAGTGCAGCGCGCTAACCGTTGCGCCACAGTTCCCCTGATGAGAAACGGCACTTGCTCACATGCTCGGAGAGAGACAATTGTGGCATTATCCACGTGGTTAACGTGGCGCTAGCGGTTCGACTCTAGCAGGTCGCCCTGGTTATCACGATGGCGAGATGTTAACTACCGCGTCTGGTATACAGGAGGCCGTGGGTTCGATCCAGACCTTGATGCCGAAATATTTTGGAGTTTTCATGTTCTCCTCATGGTTGTGTGGATTTTTTTCTAGGTTCTCCGGTTTACCCTCCACATTAAGAAACATGCATTGAGTATTTGGCTGCTGTAAATTTCTACTTGATAAGCCACTTCGCTGAGCTATCATTTGTGGCCGTATCGATAAAAAAAAAATAACTGTATAGCTCAGTGGACCTTACCTGGTAAAATAAAAATAGTTTCTCACTGCCGTAATAACTGTAAAACCATGATGCGCTGTCTGCTCCACAGTGGCTGATAATGACTCAAATGGGATTACACCAGCCCTTCCTGTGAGACGACACAACGGCCTAACTCACTTCGAACGATGTCACGGGAAATTTTAACATCCACTCAGGGTGAAGCAGATGGCGCGTATTCTACTACCACAGTTTGTACACACATCGCAGTCATTGCCAGGGTAGCCCGCCGGGTTCGAACCACAAACGCTGGAAACCTGGCGGACCACTTTGCCGGGTTCCCAAACTTCAGCGCTCGGCCCCAACCATGACTCGCCTCTCGCCACGTGCACTAACCCCTCCACGTCCACCAAACCCCCCCCCCTCCCCTTCCGATCACACGTGGTTTCATTTAGGGCCCAGGTTCGGTTACCTTGGAGTGGTCCTGAAAGACTCGCTTGGCGATCGCCTGCAGGTCGGACAGATCGGGCAGACTCCTCACAAATGCAGCCACCGCCAGGACGACGTCTCTCGGCAGCGGCTGTAAAGGTTTAGGGAACGATGACCACGAGTGCGTGTGGCGTTCAAAGCGATCGCAATGCAAAGATGGCGCAGTGTTGGCAACGGATCGAGCGCTGGCAGAGAAACAAGGCTGGGTTTGTTCTGTGGAAAAAGGTAGCAGCTCTACGGTGAAGGCTCACAAAGATTCCCCACAAAAAAAAATTATTTTTATTTTTGATTTTACCAGGTAAGGGCCACTGAGCTACATAACTTTTTTTCAGAAGCGACCTCACCACAAGTGAAAACTCAACAAAGTGGCTCATGATGTGGAAATGTAGAGCAGCCAAACACTCTGAAGGCACGTTTCAAAATTTGGAGGGAAAAACCGGATGACCTGGAGAAAAATCCACACGACCATGAGGAGAACATGTCAACTCCAAATATTACAAGATTGATCTGTGTCGTACGCGACGACTACTCTGGCATGCGTTTGAACGGAGTTATTGATGCATAAGTCAGGACCTTTTCATTAGAGAAGGCCGTAGGCACCAGATGCTTGTGAAAAGCAGCCAAGGCTTCTGCTGACAGGATGTGGTTGCCTATGAACAAAAACAACACAATTAACCTTTGGTTTCAAAGTTTTTTAGTTTTTCATGATACCCCACATTATTTAGTTTGCTATTGGTGGCGTCACAAGCAGAATCCATTCAGAATTCTCGTACAGCACCAATATTATAATAGGAATAAAGCAAGCGTTGTTTACGATATAATGTAAACGATCGTATGTTACACATGCAACTTACAGACACGCGTCGTTGCCCACAATTGCCGTGCACGCTGCATATGCCTCATACGAGCAACCCAGTGAGTGAGCGTAGCTTAGGGGAGTGTAGCCTCGGGGAGCGCGTGTGGCCTAGAGAGCGTGGCCTAGGGGAAGGTAGTCTAGGTGAGTGAGCGTGGCCAAGGGCAGCCGACATGCCCCAGTGCCCTCTTTAGAGGCAGCGCGATGCAATTGTAACGCGAGGTGGGAAAATGAGGCAAGGCAGCAAACCGGTACGGACCGAAAACCACCACTCCCATAGACAAAGGTACGGACCGAAAACCACCACTCCCATAGACAAAGGTACGGACCGAAAACCACCACCCCCATAGACAAAGATACGGACCGAAAACCACCACTCCCATAGACAAAGATACGGAACGATTAGCCATCACTGCCGTAGACAAAGATACGGAACGATGAGCCACCACTCCCATAGACAAAGATACAGAACGATTAGCCACCACTCCCATATAGACAAGGATACGGAACGATTAGCCATTGCTGCCGAAGACAAAGACACGGAACGATTAGCCATCACTCCCGTAGACAAAGATACAGAACGATGAGCCATTGCTGCCGTAGCCGAGGGTACGGACCGATGAGCCATCGGGTACGGACCGATGAGCGAGGCGAAAAGCGGCACGCGCTCCTGCCCGAGGTCCAGGATGGCGCCGAGCGACCGGCGGAACTCGCGCGCCACCGCGGGGCAGCTGCCAGCGTGGGCCAAGCGCAGCGAAGCCGTCGAGAGGAGGCGTGGCGGCCCGAACGCCAGGTAGTCCCCGTGCTGTGCCAGCACGGCGGAGCACCGGCTCGCGCAGCACTCGCGCGCCACGGCGAGCCGGTGGTCCCTCACGCTCTGAGACACCTTGCGCACGCGTTCACCGGGGGGGCCGCAGTTACAAACGTCGCTGTGTTCGTTAAGGGAGCTGTGTCGTGGACCCTCCTCCACCCGACCCAAGCGAACAGAGGAGAGGGGTGTGTGTGCGACACAGATTGAACATTTTATTCACGCGACATGATGCTCAAATATCATATTGGTGGAGGAGGGGGGGGTTTGAAGGAGGATGTTTTTCATTTCAGTGGCGACACCAGATAAGCGATGCGAAAGCATTACGGACAGCAGCAGGGTGCATAACAAGAACATCAATGAGGATAATTTCAGACAAGCAGGATATAAACAGTTTTGGTCATGTACATATGTATGTTTAACTTATTCTGAATCATACGTAGCCGACTGCGCTAATCGGAGGTGCGTGATGACAAAACGAGACGGGATGTTTTGTCTGGGAAAATTCGGGGTACAGGAATCCCTCGCCAACCGCGGACTTGCCAACCACGGTTTCATGCGGTTTATTATTTGTATACCAATTTATCCACCGCAGCCTGGAAATTTGAGTATCCACTGGTAAACACGGTGCTAGGGAAGTCAAATGACGTACAACAGCATGACGTCATTGCATTGCGCGACGTCATTGTTGCAAATTGTGTGGGGCCGTGGGTCTCCGTGTCACGGCGACACCCTGGTATAAAGAGGCAAGTCGGTTAAGCTATGATCAGTCTCACCGTGGCCATGGTTCTCCTAACCCCCGATTTCCCATAGGCGCTGTACCAAACGCGGATTTCCCTACCGCGGCATTGTCCAGGAGCCTAACCCCCATGCGGTTGGCGAGGAATTGCTGTATTTGTTACGCCCACCTCTTCGCTGTGGCCACAATTTTATGTGTTCCGAAATTCTGCTTCTGCAGTTTCAATTGAATGTTTGTTTGAGCAAAAAAAATCCTGTTTAGCTAGTTACCCAGCTAGTTTCGGGGTGTGGGGGTGGCGGCATGGGGGGTAGAGGGGGGAGATCCCAAAAACCTCTGTATCCCAGACGGACCCAGAGATGCAGACAAAAATATACAAAAAAATTACCATAACCTTTTAAAATAAATGTTTTTTTGTTTGGGCTGATGTATGTCGCGGAGGGACTTTGTTGATTGGGCCCATGGGGTAGGTAAGTAACGTGGAGTAGGAAAGTAACGTCGGCCCCAACATAAGTATGTGGTTCGATAAAAATAAATCCCCAACTTTCGATTTAAAGCTTTCGTGACTGCAGGGATTCATCTTCTTGGTTCTTTCGGTAAAGTCACGTAGAAGGGAAATAATAAAATTTTAAAAATTCAACATTAAATATTATTTTATTACGTTTAATTTGTATTATTTAAATTGTATTATTTTATAATTTTCCTTCCTACATGACTTTACCGAAAGAACTAACAAGATAAATCCTCAACTATCGACCCATATGGCAGATTTACCTCATAACAAAGTTGTGTTTTGGGTTAGTAAGGTTCGTCACGTCAACGAAACGTGCCAATCGCTCACGACGTCAGCACACCGGTGTGTGTTGGAGAGGAAACCCACTACGACAGGGGTCGGGAACCTTTTTGACTGGGAGAGCCATAAAAGCCAAATATTTCTAAATATATTGCATTGAGAGCCATATAGTATTTTTAACGTATAATAAATTAAATGTCTTACTTTTAATGCGACTTCTGGTCACAGGACCCGTGACCCGAGAAATTTTATCTTCAAAACTAATTTATGTTCACTTTAAATTGACACAGTATTATTAAGCAATATCACAAGTATTTTAAAATCAGTTCCAAACCGATTTTATTTTTTTATTATTATTGTTTTTCAACTCAAAATTGTCTGGGAGCCATATGCCGTCACCGGAAGAGCAATATATGGCTCGCGAGCAATATATGGCTCGCGAGCAATATATGGCTCGCGAGCAATATATGGCTCGCGAGCAATATATGGCTCGCGAGCAATATATGGCTCGCGAGCAATATATGGCTCGCGAGCAATATATGGCTCGCGAGCAATATATGGCTCGCGAGCAATATATGGCTCGCGAGCAATATATGGCTCGCGAGCAATATATGGCTCGCGAGCAATATATGGCTCGCGAGCCATAGGTTCCCGACCGCTGCACTACGACATTTACGATTTGAGTGCCTTGACGTTTCGCTGGTGACGACTACAACTACAACAACCAGCAACAGCAGCTGCATCAGGTCTGAACCGAGTAAAAGGTAATTTCATCACCGTGAGCCTATCGAAGAGGGATTATGTAGCCATCATATGCGTTGCAATGGATTATGTTGATGCGAGAACACGCAGTACCTATTATTAGTTTTGTTAGTTAATAAACAGTGGCATGCGTTTCGTGTTAAGTTTGTTGTGATCTTCCCTGCACCTCTTAGCACGGTTGGCTTCGTACGGTGCGAAAGAAGTTCTACATACGTGCAATGTTAATGTGAGAATGTGCAGTCCACATTACTGGTGGGATTAGTCACCAGTTATTCAACATAGGAGAACGCGAGTAGGCATGCAACTAAACGGTGTTGTTATGACTTAATCACACGCTTCAAGGCCAGCACTGAGCGATCAGGACTGTTAAAATCATTTGTTTATTTCTCTCAATTGAAATATTAACACATTAGTCCTTGCCAGTTATAATTAGTTTTCCACAAAACATCAACCTTATAAACTCCTAATTTTTTTTAAAGCTTCGATAACACGTAAACAACGCGATTTATTTGAAACATTTCCCGCGCAAATCACCGTGGATTGCGAGGGGCCCCGCCCCCTCCGTGCCCACACAAGCCCCGCCCCTTCGTAATCAGAAGCCCCGCCCCCTTCGTACTCACAGAGGCCCCGCCCTCTTCGTACACACACAAGCCCCGCCCCCTCCGTGCCCACACAAGCCCCGCCCCTTCGTAATCAGAAGCCCCGCCCCCTTCGTACTCACAGAGGCCCCGCCCCCTTCGTACACACACAAGCCCCGCCCCCTCCGTGCCCACACAAGCCCCGCCCCTTCGTAATCAGAAGCCCCGCCCCCTTCGTACTCACAGAGGCCCCGCCCTCTTCGTACACACACAAGCCCCGCCCCCTCCGTGCCCACACAAGCCCCGCCCCTTCGTAATCAGAAGCCCCGCCCCCTTCGTACTCACAGAGGCCCCGCCCCCTTCGTACACACACAAGCCCCGCCCCCTCCGTGCCCACACAAGCCCCGCCCCCTTCGTACTCAGAAGTCCCGCCCCTTCGTAATCAGAAGCCCCGCCCCCTTCGTACTCGCAGAGGCCCCGCCCCCTTCGTACACAGAAGCCCCGCCCCCTTCGTACTCGCAGAGGCCCCGCCCCCTTCTTACTCACAAGTCCCCTTCGTACTCACAGAGGCCCTGCCCCCTTCGTACTCAGAAGCCCCGCCCCCTTTATACACACAAGCCCCGCCCCCTTCGTACTCGCAGAGGCCCCGCCCCCTTCTTACTCACAAGTCCCCTTCGTACTCACAGAGGCCCCGCCCCCTTCGTACTCACAAGTCACCTTCGTACTCAGAGGCCCCGCCCCCTTCGTACTCACAAGCCACGCCCCCTTCGTGCTCACAGAGGCCCCGCCCCCTTCGTGCTCACAGAGGCCCCGCCCCCTTCGTACTCACAGAGGCCCCGCCCCTTCGTGCTCACAGAGGCCCCGCCCCCTTGGTGCTCACACAAGCCCCGCCCCCTTCGTACTCGCAGAGGCCCCGCCCCCTTCTTACTCACAAGTCCCCTTCGTACTCACAGAGGCCCCGCCCCCTTCGTACTCACAAGTCACCTTCGTACTCAGAGGCCCCGCCCCCTTCGTACTCACAAGCCACGCCCCCTTCGTGCTCACAGAGGCCCCGCCCCCTTCGTACTCACAGAGGCCCCGCCCCCTTCGTGCTCACAGAGGCCCCGCCCCCTTGGTGCTCACACAAGCCCCGCCCCCTTCGTACTCGCAGAGGCCCCGCCCCCTTCTTACTCACAAGTCCCCTTCGTACTCAGAGGCCCCGCCCCCTTCGTACTCACAAGTCACCTTCGTACTCAGAGGCCCCGCCCCCTTCGTACTCACAAGCCACGCCCCCTTCGTGCTCACAGAGGCCCCGCCCCCTTCGTACTCACAGAGGCCCCGCGGAGAGCGGCGGCGAGACGCACCGAGTCCCTGAGGCCGGCGGGCGCCGTCACGAGCCACTGGGCGCGCCCAGCACAAGCGGGGAGGCCCCACCGCTCCTCGCCACTGCCCGGCAGCAGCCCCCACCGCCGTCGGCCCCGCAGCAGGCTCGGTGACCCACACGACTTGCCGCTACCCCCGTCGAAGACGAAGCGGAGCGGGCAAGTCGCGCACACGGCACCCACGTTCACCTCAAGCTGGCGCCACTGTCCGCCGCACAGCCAGTCTTGCTCAGCCTCGCGCTGCTGCAGCTGCCGCCGCTGGTCGTGGTGCAAAAAATAAAGGCGGTCGAGCAGGGAATCCGCCGCGTCCACGCACAGGGTGGACGCGGCGGGGTTCCGCTTCGAGCCCTTGGCCAGGCCGCTGAGGCGAATGTACGGGCATTTCTCTTTGGAGTCGAGGTACCACACGTGGCGGCTCAGCCACTCCCACTCCATGAAGTCGTAGTAAGCGAGGCTCTCTGCTCGCACTACGATGGCGACGATTGTTCGATAAATCCCGCGGGGCCGCGCCGCGTGGGCAGCGTTGGGGCCTTCACCACGCGGCTTCTGAGGAGCCACGCGGGAGAATTTCCCGCCAAAAGTAAACAGCCCCTCCCCGACTCCCGCGTTGTCTCGCCCCGCCCTCTGAAATGGCAGCCCCGCCCATTCCCACGATAGCCCCGCCCATTCCCACGATAGCCCGTCCCACTCGACCGGTAGCCCCGCCCATTCCCGCTATAGCCCCGCCCACTCGACCGATAGCCCCGTCCATTCCCGCTATAGTCCCGCCCACTCGACCGGTAGCCCCGCCCATTCCCGCTATAGCCCCGCCTACTCGATCGGTAGCCCCGCCCATTCCCACAATAGCCCCGCCCACTCGATCGGTAGCCCCGCCCATTCTCACTATAGCCCCGCCTACTCGACCGGTAGCCCTGCCTGCAGCAGCGTTGATGCAGAACCTGGCGAACCGGGTTCGATTCCCGCTCACGGCCAACACCGGTGACGATTATCTGAACCGGTCCTGGACCTCCCCCAGGTCGACTCGGCCTCAAATAAATACTTGGCGCGGTGTGTAAACATCGCCACCGGGAGACAAAGGCGGCCGGGCGTGGGGTTGGCCACCCACCCCCTCGTGTGCCGTGCCGGCCTTCATAGGTGCTCGCTAACAGCACTTGCCCCTACAGTCTGTTAAGGCTACACGGGGGATCTTTGTCCAACTGTGGGCCGGTTTCGCTCACGGTAGGGACTCATCAAGTAGCCAATGCTCACTACTGCAGAGTCCGCATCTTGTTCGGCTCATGCCAAACAAATGATCAACTCAACCCGATAAACCTCGATTATAAATGATCAACTCTGTAATGCCGTGACTCCCCCGTGATGAAACTAAACTGATTTTAGCAGGTGAGGTCCACTGAGCTTTCTAGCCCCTTTCAGAAGCGACCTGGCGATCACAAACGATCGCTCGGCGAAGTGGCTTATCACGTGGACATTGTATAGCAGCAACACTCTCCAAACGCGTGGCGATGTCGATTCTAAATGTGGAGGGGGGAACTCTGAGACAAATCCACGCGACCACGGGGGGGAGAGAGACATGAATTGCCAGCTCCACGTGTACAGCAGGCGTGAGGGTTGAGATCGAACCCACGACCTCCTGCATGCCAGGCGAGGTAGTTAACATCTCCTAGCCACCGTGACGTCCTTAATAACAAACATCACGCAGGCGTGTGCGCACAAAGCGTTCGGCCTTCGTGCGTTATGCATGTGTGGAAAAACCCCGATTACGGGGAATTAAAGCCTGGTTTAATAAATACGAAACTCTGATAGGCTTAGACTGCTTCCTCGTCGGTGCTGCTATCGTACTCGGGGGGCGCCGTCGGGCACGAGGTAGTCGTAGAATGCGGCGGGCAGGTTGGTCTTGATGAACACGAGCTTCTCCTCCACAATCGTGGGTGCCAGTGAGTTCCTTAGCTTGGAATGGATGAAGCCCATCGTTGAGAAGTTGGCGAAGTGCGGTTCTGCAATTAGAACCAATTAAACCGGATTTCTCCCAATCTCAGATGATCGGGTTTAATATAAAAATACAATTAAACAAGATTGTAGAAAACCCGACTGTGCCACCCTTGGCGTTATGGAAACGGCATGAACCGTAGGTCAGAGTTCACGTGCATTGGAGCAGATTTGACCGACAGCACCAACAGCAGTCATTCAAAGATGGACAGCTGTAGGCTGGTTTCGCCATTACTGTAACTCATCAGTAGAGTGATAACTGCTGCATTTCACGAGGACAGTCTTTATTTTGTATTTCGTGTACACGTACAGTACATTAAAATAACTTACAGTCCTTCGTCAGTCTACTCATGGATGAGGGTCCCTCCATGGCATGCGAGTTGTGGGGAGGGGGGGGTGTATGACCATACTTCACCACGCTGGTCAATGCGGGTTGTGTGACCCAATACTGGTTCAGGCAATGATCACCATCGGACATCTGACGCTAGCCGTGTCCCAGAATCAAACTTGGATGGAACATATTTGATTACCCGGCCGGACATCTGGGAAAAAAAGTTTCATAGCTCGTCGGATTCCCCCTGCAGTCCAAAATAAAGATTGCGATTCTGATTTCTTGTTTTAACACGGATAAACTGTGCTTCGAAATGACACCAAGGGGTGGCAGTATGGGATAGGAAAGACAATTGCTCGACCTCTGATTAACCACCCATTAACCACACGTTAACCACACGTTAACCACACATTAACCACCCATTAACCACACGTTAACCACACATTAACCACCCATTAACCACACGGTAGCTGTCTGCTGCCGTATTGCGGCACGCACGACGGGAGGTTAGCACGGTGGGGGTTGTATCGGCCACTGAACAGCACGGAGTGTTTGTTCGTCCCAGCTTGCGAATAGCAAGGCTCTTTCCTCTCCTATAACACCTGGGACCTGGCCACGGCAGATTTTAAAGATATATATTTTTTTGGTTGAAATGTTCTGAGGATTTAGCTTCGTATTTTTTTGGATTATCTTATTTTAGTTGCCAGATTTCTCAACCATTGCTCGTCCGCAACTTTGTCCAGAAGGGGTGCTCGTAAATACCTTTTGAATGAACACAACCCCCACACTACAATCATCTGTGTAAAACTCCGTCGTTTGCTCTTTGGGCCACACAACTCCTCGCGCGGCTCCCCGTTGGCCAATAGTCTGGAATCCGCAGCAGCACCCCCCGAGTTGTAAGAGAGCAAGTCCATAATATAAGTATTTTTTTGGGGTTAGATCGTGTAAATATAAATGTGTTGTTAAACCCGCCACCACCCGACGCAGCCAATGAGTAAGGGTTGTCACGTAAGCAGAGCAAGTCTGGTGACAACGCGCATATTTTCTGGGTTATTGGCTGGGGCCGGGTGGAGTTGGGGGAGGCGGGTGGATTGCAACTGGGGTGTACGAGACCGGGATGGTGGTCACAACCAAGACAACAACAAAGACAAAGATCCCCCGTATAGCCTTAACACACTGTTGGGGCAAGTGCTATTAGCGAGCACCTATGAAGGCGGGCATGGCACACGAGGGGGTGGGTGGCCAGCACCACGCCCGGCCGCCTTTGTCTCCCCAGTGGCGATGTTTACACACCGCACACGATTCTCATTTGAGGCCGAGTCGACTTCGGGGATGCCCATAACTTATTCAGATAATCGTCACTGGTGTTGGCCGTGAGCGGGAATCGAACTCGGGCAGCCGGGTTCGTAGTGCAGCGTAGCGCTAATCGCGACACTACCACTCCCCATACCACCACCAACAACATCACCAACATCAACAACATCAACCACCACCACTTAATACTGTAACAACACCAACACCGACTGACGACAACCACTGACAGCGACAAGCCAACACAACCATCGCGACGCGAAGAGTAACACTGATGATGATGAAAGTGATGATGATGATGATGATTATGATGATGAACTGATGATTGCAACGATCCTCCGGCTAATGACGCTGGAGCTAACGATGTTGGCTGTAGACGATGACAATTGAAACTGAGCTGCATGTGCTGCTGATGATGATGAAGACTGATTCTGATCCTGCAGCCGACAATGATGATGATAACAATCCTGGAGCAGATGATAATTATGATGATGATCCTGGAGTTAACTGATGATGATGATGATGATGCGAGTGGAGAGCGCGATGGCACAATGAGCCTGAGTGGTTTATTTCGTGAAAAAAACGCGAACGTCCGCCTGCCTACCTCCACGCGGAGGTTTCAAAACCAAAAGTTCGAATAGCCGAAGCCTCCATGAGTCTCACCCCCCCCCCCCCCCCCCCCAGGTGCACGCTCCATCAATGAAACGACACGGGCACCGCTCAGAGGCTCAGCACCTGGCGAGCTGGTAAGCCCCTTCCTCCTCCTCCACCAGCACCGCCCACTTTCACACGGCCACGCCCACCGACACTAAGCTCCTCCCATAACCCGGGTGGCCACGCCCGTTTGTGGAGCGAGCCAGGTAGCGGTCGTGGTGGTGGGTCACGCTCCAAATGTTGTCAAATTTAATAAGTAAATAAAATTGACCGAAAAAGAAACAACTCAGTTGGGATGACACACGCGGCAACATCGACCCCCACTTACTCGGGAACTATCGCAGGTGCCACGTCCGTGAAACCAGACCTGTCAACCCCTTGTGAGTGCCTATTTTATTAGCGACCAATTCACACCTTACTGGTCACCCCGTGCCCTTATAAATATCAACGTTCATCCTACAAAGTCCCAGCATAAGGGAAAAACACAAAGACAATTTTTTTTTAATGTGCCCTTATTGAAACGGCTGTACGCCATATGGACCTGAAAACTACATTTCCCTGCGCAAGAGTACGGCGTAAACCGTCTGGGTTGACAGCTGCGGTGAAACACAGCAACGCGTTCCGTCGCTCGCAACGCTTGCCTTGCCGCTCGCCACCCCAGTGCTGTTCACTGCGTCTCATCGGTGCGGGGGCCGCCACGCATTTGAAACCACTGGCGGTTTGACAGCAGCACGATGATGATGGGGGGGGGGGGGGGGGTGTTTACTTGTTGTGTATTGTCCGGGCCCGCACCTCGGGGGCCACCAGTGGCCCGTGGGCCTTGCAATGAAGAACCCTGCGCTGGACCTTGTTGTCCTTCCCCCCACGCTTCCGATTAGCACGGTTGGCTACGTACGGTGCGAAAGAAGTTTAACAACGTAGGTACGAACGATGGAGTGAATGCCACGCGCTCTAATAAACCTCGCGGCGGCGGCGCCGACGAGGAGGAGGTGGGCGGCGGCAGTGGCTGGCGAGCGCGGAGCAAGGGGCGGAACGTGATGGCCGCCGTGCGGCACCGGCGTAGCTCGCGAGTGGGTGCGCAGGCGGTGCAACTGCGCTGAGGCCCACGGGCCAGAGGGGAGGCCGAGGCTACGAAGCGGGTGGGGGTTGGCGGTGAGTGGGGGTTGGCGGTGGGTGGGGGGGTGCCCTCGCTTTAGGCGACGTTGGCGTTTGTCTCCAGGGTGGCCCCTCTGGAGACGCTGGGGGGATGGGACGTGGGGGGTGGGGGGCCGGGTTTCCAGCCGTGCACCAGGGCCCCACGCAACCCCCTCCACCAACACGACACCATCAAAAATCATCAATAACACTCTCTCCTGGTACAGATTTGGCAAGACCTCACCAAATGTCTAACCTACAGAGTAAACCATAAAGTTCTCTGGTTTTTTAAAGTCGGTTTGATTTTCAGTTGTAAAAGAATGAGTGATAGAGAGGTGCAAAAAGTGCACTAACCAATCAGACACCAGCCCCACCTCCAACCCTACCCACACTAACCAATCAGACACCAGCTCCACCTCCAACCCTACCCACACTACCCAATCAGACACCAGCTCCACCTCCAACCCTACCCACACTAGCCAATCAGACAATATCCTGACCACATGACCTTAACCTTAATACAACAAACTAACCAATCAGCCCCCACCATTAAGCACAACCCAGACCCCAACGCTCACCATAGCTCCACTCCCTGCGTGACCTCTTGCTTGCTCTCTAGTTGTGGGTATCACCAAGACAAAGATCCCCCGTATAGCTTGAAAATATTGTTGGGGCAAGTGCTGTGAGCGAGTACCGATGAAGGCCGGAATGGCACACAAGGGGGTGGGTGGCCAGCATAACGCCCGGCCGCCTTTGTCTCCCTAGTGGCAATGTTTACACACCGCACCAGGTACTCGACTGAGTGGAGGCCCAGGATTAATTCAGATAATCGTCACCGGTGTTGGCCGTGAGCGGGAATCGACCTTGGGTCTCCGCCGGGTTGACAGCGCAGCGCTAACCGCTACTGCACCACCGCTCCCAGGTAATACCGCGTGCACTTAAAACAACCAGACTGGCTGTTGTAAAAGTAATAAATAAATATTTCGTCTCACATAAATAGTTTAAATAAAACCTCCGGGCCATAAATAGGGGAAACTGTGCAAAGGTGGCATCATCCGGCCAATTAGATGAGAGAGAACGATTTCACCACACTCTGCAAATGATCAAATACCAATCAGGCGGCCTTCACCCCCCCCCTCTACCCCCTAAATAATAAAATGGACTAACCCATGGAAAGCTCGGCAAACACCCGCCAAGTGGGCTCAGCATGGAACATTCAATTTGGTTCGTGTTTACGGGGGGGGGGAGGGCGGTTGTGAGGGAGGATATTTTGAACGGAGTTTAATGGATCCAGGTGAACGAGTGTGAACGTGAACAGCGCAGTCTCCCACCATCAGACGTCCACCACCATCTTCTTGTGAACATCCATCCCGCCAACCACCTGGGCACACGCGCACACACGCCACGGAGGGGGGAGGGCATCAGCACTGGGGGGGGGTGAGACAAAGGCGGCAGAACGTGGCGGCAGAGCGTGGCAGCTGCCACAACACTCCTTCCTCCCCCCACCGCCACCCCCCGTGTGCCGTGCGGGTCTTAACATGCGCTTGATAATAGCGCCTGTCCTGGTAAAGCTAAGAGGATGTATGCGGTATATCTTTCTGATGTGCATAGGGGGGGTGAAGGTGTTTTTTTAATCGATGGTGCAGTGGTCAGCGCACCGCGCCAGGAACTCTGGGGCCCGAGTTTGATTCCCGCTCACAGCCAAAATCGGTGATGGAATATCTCATCCTGTGGGTGGTTGTTCCTTGGACAATTCAGCCTCAAATGAGTCGTAGGTCCGTGTGTTCAACTTCTTTCGCACCGTACGTAGCCAACCGTGGCAGCCTGGCCACCCACGCCCTCGCGTTCCGTGTCGGCATTAGAGAAGGGGCTTGCCAACAGCACTCACTGACAGCCACAACGGTCTGTTAAAGTCTACACACGGTGAATCTTTGTCTTTGTACTTTGTGTGTGTCTATATATGGAAGGCCGCTCACTAAGAGACTTGTAATAAATGTGTAACCTATGTCAGTACGCAGTGCATGGGGGAGGGCATGGACCACGGTGGCAAAGATGTTAACTACCTCGCCTGGTATGCAGGAGGTCGAGGGTTCAATCCCGACCTAACCCAAAAATCCTCTACAATGAAAAATAGTTTAGTTTTTATAGTGTTAAGTTTCCCGGCGTTGGCGACCACGACGATCGCCGCGCTGGCGGCCGTGCTGGCGGCGCGACCTACGGAGCAGAACTCCTGGAAGGAGATGCGACCGTCGCCGTCCTTGTCGGCGTTGAGGATCGTCTTGTCCACGATCTGCTGCAGCTGCGTGTCCTTCAAGTTGTTGCCCACCATCATCTTGAGCACCTGGAAGAGCTCCCCGTTGGAGATGAAGCCGTCGCGGTCCATGTCGTAGATCTGGAACGCGACTGGCGGAGGGAAAGGGCGGGGGGTGTGGGGTGTGCGGGGCAAGGCAGGGGGGTGGCAGGCGGGGCTCGGGGAGAGCGTAATCCCCGTGGTGACGAGGGTGTCCGTGGTGTGTGGGGAGCGGTGGCGTAGCGGTGAGCGCTCTGCAATACAAAGCAGCGAGCCGAGTTCGATTCCCGCTCACGGCCGACACCAGTGACGATTATCTGAACTGGTTCTGGGCCTCTCCTCGGGCGACTCAGCCTCAAATGAGTACCTGGTGCGGTGTGTAAACATCGCCACTGGAGAGACAAAGGTGGCCGGGCGTGGTGCTGGCCACCCACTCCCTGGTGTACCATGCTGGCCTTCATAGGTGCTCACGAACAGCACTTGCCCCAACAGTTTGTTAAGGCTATATGGGGGATCTTTGTCTTTGTGAGACAGTCCCACAAAATTGAGGAGGCTCGTGAAGGACGCTGCTGTGGAGGCAGTCGCCCTCCAGAAACAACTGAGGGCAGAGGAGCGACGCTCACAACAATGAGCGGAGCACCGGGCAGATAAAACGCAGCAAGTTGGCACAGTGGGGAGCACAGGTGGTGCAACTGTCGGCCATCTCAGTCAACCCATGGCACCTGCTGTCCCGTGACCTCCTACCCAGCAGCGACCCTTCAACATTGTCTCAATATTCACCTAGCCTGGCGCAAGGGCCATGGTGACGTCGTCGCCAATTAGCGACGAATGGCGGCCGTTATTGTTGGTGCGCTGATCTACTCACATCGCAGCTTCTGTTCCTTGTCTCCCTTGACACTGAACTGTGAGACGCCTTCAATGAACTCTGTGGCAGAGAACGGACAAAGGCAAAGATCCCCCATGTCGCTTTTCTCAGGCTGTTGGGGCAAGTGCTGTTGGCGAACATCACTGAAGGCCGACACGGCACACGAGGTGGGCGGGGGGTGGTCAACACAGACGCACGTACGGACAAACCGAGTACAATGAGGTCATAAAGTAGATGCTGTGGTCGCGATCGCCGCGGTCGCGATCGCCGCGGTGACGATCGCCACGGCGACGATCGCCGCGGTGACGATCACCGCCACAGCTGCCGCCGTCGCCACGGTTACCCTTGAAGTCGACCTCCCCGTTGCCGTCGGTGTCGAAGATGTGGATGACTCTCTGCACGAGGGGGTTCTGCTGCAGCTCGGGCAGGGACATGAACTCCTCGACGCTGAGCGAGCCCGAGCCGTCCAGGTCGAGCTTGCGGAACCGCTTGCCCAGCCTCCGGATCTCGTCCGGATCGACTACCCGCGGGGATTGGGCGGCGAGGAGTGGGGTTAACGGGGGGGGGGGGGGGGGGGTTAACGGGGGGAACAGAGGAGAACGCAGGAAGATGTTCAAACATTAAACAGTTTTTATTGTACCAGGTGAAGCCCACTGAGCTACGCAGCTGAGCTATCACAAATGATAACTCAAGGGAGTGACTTAGCATCGTCACGTGGGCATTTTTAGCAGCAGCCAAACACTCTGACCGCGTGTTTCTAGACGCTCCACCTGCGCCCCCCAGGGCCGGCGAGGGCCCCCCGGCCACGCAAAGGCCGAGGGAGCTGGAGGCGAGAGGCGGCGGATCGAGGAGTCGCAGCGGCAGCACCGGGTCACGCAAGGGGTACCTCAAAGGGCAAGAGCTTCCCCACGTGGGTCCTGCCCCCCCCCCCGCCACCCCCAGGGAGATTAAACAAAGAGTTAAAACACACAAACATGAAACACAACCCCATGTGTAGCCTACATAGGCTACATAGGCTACACATGGGGTTGGGTGTCACGGTGGCGAGATGTTAACTATCTCGCTTGGTATACAGGAGGTCGTGGGATCGATCCCGACCCTGACGCCTGCTGCTGTGTATTTGGAGTTTGCAGTGTCTCTCTCTCTCCCCGTGGTCGTGTGGATTTTTCTCCGGGGCCTCCGGTTTTCCCCTCCACATTTATAATCAACATCACTCGTTTAGAGTATCTGGGCTGCTATAAATGTCCACGTGATAAGCCGCGACTTTGTTGAGCCATCATTTGCGATCGCCAGGTCGCTTCTGAACAAGAGCTCCAAAGCTGGGTGGGCCTTACATAAGAATAGTTTAGTTGACGTAGAACGTCGTTGATCCAAGAGCTGTTAACAAAGTGCCTACTGAGGTCCGTAGTGACACAGGGTCTATGCGCTGGCCAGCACCCTGCATGGCCGCCTTTGTCTCCCCAGTGGCGATGTTTACAGACAGCACCAGGTAATCATTTGAGGCCGAGTCGACCTCAGGGAGGTCCAGAAACGGTTCAGATAATCGTCACCGATGTTGGCCATGAGCGGGAATCGAACTCGGGTCGCCGGGTTCGTAGCGCAGCGTAGCGCTAACCGCTGCACTACCGCTCCCCTGTTCAGGCCGACGGTGGAATGGCTCAGCGATTGGCGCGCTGAGGGCATCATGAGGCCATGAGGCCAGCATCTCCTGGCCAGAAACCAATTGTTCCACGCAAGATTCTACAGACTACAACCACCACAAACCACCACCACGACCACCAAGAAGACCACCACCACCATCATGACCACCATCACCATCATGACCACCATCTCAACCACGACCATCACGACCACCACCACCACCACCAAGACCACCACGACCACCACCATCAGGACCACCACTGCCAAGACCACCAAGACCACCACCACCATCAACAGCACCACCGTAGGTTCTACGCGCACCGAAGCGGTTCAAATAAATGCCCCCCCGTGTCGCGACGAGCTGCGAGCTCGCTGGACGCGCGACTGCACGGTGGAGAGAGGTGGTGGTGGTGGTCTCCGTCCTCGTCGGAGCCAAGGGAACTATCACGGCCAGAGGTTGACATCGTCAGGAGAAAGTCAGCGGAGCGAAAGGGCTCATGAGTGACGACCCAGGGCGCCAGACCTGCTGTGTTGTCATGAATGTTTAATGGCAATCACTCCTCCACCCCCACTCACACATATACAGTGCTCTTTATGCACATACACCCAGCGTGTGTGTGTGTATGTACACTACCACTCCCCTTACACGTGTGTGTGTGTGTACACTACCGCTCCCCTTACACGTGTGTGTGAAATGCAACGTCGAGAGCTTCACCTTTCATGAATGCAAAGGAATTGAATCTTAAAGATGAGTGGCTTAAAATCAGACAACCATGCGATTTTGAGAAGGATTTCACAAGTTGGAAGAAAAATCCGAAACAGTTTGCTGTTGCAAAGGCAAACGACGAAGGGCAGAAGGGTGATGCTCACAACAACGAGCGGAGCGCCGGGTGGCTAAAACGCAGCAAGTTTGTACAGTATGGGACACAGGTGGTGCATCAGCCAGTCATCTCAGTCAGTCGACCCGCGGCACCTGCTGGGTCTGCCCCGTGACCTGCCAGCAGCGAGCCTTCGACACTTCACGTGGCCTCAAAGTGCACCTAGCCTGGCACAGGCGCCGTGGTAAAGTCACCGCCACTTCGTTATTGGTGAACGCCGGTTGTTGTTGTTGTTTGCATGGGGAGCGGCGGCGCAATGGGGGAGATGGAGCATTGAAATGGGCTCGTGAGCGAGCAGTTTCCGGGCGTATCTTGGTATCGCAGGATCCTGAGAGGTGTCGGTGGTGGTGGCTTTTGGAGGAGGCCTTCATCCAGCAGTGGATTGATCATGGCTGATGATGGTGGTGGTTGATGATGAAGGCACGGTGGAGGAGGCATGCAGCTACAGTGGCAAGCTAATGAAATGGCACCAACATTGCATATTTGGATTGCAAATTACATAATGGGTGCGATCATAGCGACGTGTGACGGCCTGTAATTAAGGGAAGCTATTTCGAATGTTTGCAAGACAACATTTGTCACTGCACTAGATTCACAAAGATCCCCCGCGTAGCCTTAACAGACTGTTGGGGCAAGTGCTGCTAGCGAGTAGCACCTATGAAGGCCGGAACTGTGGCACACAAGGTGGTGGGTGGCCAGAGCCACGCCCGGCCGCCTTTGTCTCCCCAGTGGCGATGTTTCCATGCCGCACCAGGAGGTACTCAGTTGAGGCTGAGTCGCCCCAGGGGAGGCCCAGGACCAGCTAAGATAATCATCACTGGTGTTGGCCGTGAGCAGGAATCGAACTCGGGTCGCCGGGTGTGTAGCGCAGTGTGGTTACCGCTACGCTACCGCTCCCCATAACACAAAACAACAGCTGCCATTCGGCACGCAGTGGCGATGACGACACCACAGCGCTTGTGCCAGGCTAGGTGCACTCCGAGGCCACGTGAAGTGTGGAAGGTTCACTGCTGGCAGGAGGTCACGGGACATACCCAGCAGGTGCCATGGGTTGACTGACTGAGATGGCTGGCAGATGCACCACCTGTGCCCTTGACTGTGCCAACTTGCTGCGTTTTAACCGCCCGGCACTCCGCTCGTTTATGTGAGCATCGCTCCTCCGCCCTCCGCTGTTGTTGGGTGCGAAAGAAGTTCAACATACGTACGTACTTTGCACGACTATCGTGTTTGTTGTTGCAACGTGTTTTCACCCACGGCTGCTGTGAACAAGAGCTTTATAGCTCATCAGCATCCTCCTGCAGGAGAAACTGCCCAGTAGCAGCATCCGTCGCGAGCCTCCTCCACAGAGGCCGATCTTGACACCGCTGGTACCGGTCATCGGCAAATTCACTCATCCAACCACCAACCACCCACCACCACCCACCCACCACTCACCACCCACCACTCACCACCCACTCACCACTCACAACCCACCCACCCACCACTCACCACCCACCCACCACTCACAACCCACCATTCACCACCCACCCACCACTCATCCACCACTCACCCACCACTCACCCAGCACTCACCCACCCACCACTCACCCACCACTCACCACCCACCACTACCCACCCACCACTCACCACCCACCCACCACTCACCACCCACCAAACCACTCACCCACCACTCACCCACCATTCACCCACCACTCACCACCCACCACCGACCACTCATCCACCACTCACCACCCACCCACCACCGACCACTCACCACTCACTCACCCACCACCTACCCCAGACCACGGTGTGGTGAGATGCGGTGCGGCGAGACGGGTCTACATCTGCCATCAGTGGGCGGGGGTGTCGAGTCGCGGCTGTGATTAGCCATGATTGGGGCGCGCCTGACGCGACTGTTTGCGTTAAGTGCCGAGTTAAATGAGCCCCTTGGAGGTGGGGAGACAGAAAACCCCCATGTAGCCTGCAGAGACTGGTTGGGGCAAGTGCTGTTCGCTAGCCCCCATACAGTGTGGGACCTGTTCGATTCCCGTTCACGGCCAACACCATTGGCGATTATCTGAACGGGTCCTGGGCCTCCCCGAGGCCGACTCAGCCTCAAATGAGTACCGTGCGGTGTGTAAACAACGCCACTAGGGAGACAAAGGCGGCCGGGCGTGGTGTTGGCCACCCACCCCCTCGTGTGCCGTGCCGGCCTTCACAGGTGCTGCTACTCGCTAACAGCACTTGCCCCTACAGCCTGTTACAGGCGACATGGGGGAAGCTTTCGTTCCTGGAGCGGTGGCGCAGTGAACAGATCATCCCAAATTCGATTCTTGTAGAACAGCCTACACGGGTAACGAATATCTCTACCGATACTCGGCCTCCCCTAGGTCGACTCAGCCGTACCTGGCGTGTAAATATCCCCAGTTGGGGAGACAAAGGCGGCCGGGCGTGGTTCTAGCCACCGAACCCACCCCCTCCGTTTTCCGTACTTGGCTGAGGAGCACTTTCCCCGACTGGCTGTCGAGGCTATACGGGAGCCCTTTGTCTGTGTGGGTGTATGCAGGCGTGTGTGCGCGCGAGCGAGTCTGTGCGATGGCGAGACTCACAATGAGAACACATCTCCATGGGGTAGCTGCCTTCGTTTCCCTGCGAGAGAACGGGAGGTGTCAGAGCATTAACTTCACACCCACACCTCCACGCCGCACACAAAGACAAAGGCGACCCGTGTAGCCTTCACGGACTCTTTGGGCCAAGTGCTGTTCGTGAGTAGCGCCGGTTGAAGGCCGGCCCTGGGTACGAGGGGGTGGGTGGCCAGCACCACGTCCGGCCGCCTTTGTCTCCCCAGTGGCGATGTTTACTACACACAGTACCAGGTCGACCTCGGGGAGGCCCAGGGCCGGTTCAGATAATCGTCATCATTATGAAACAACCCCTAAGACGCACACATCAACCGATTTGTCTATACACGTGGACCCATGCACACACGCACAGACCCATACACACACGCACAGACCCATACACACACGCACAGACCCATCCTGGCCATGCACACACAACCACAGCCGCCATTCACCACTGAGGGGGCAGTGACATCGCCACGGTGCCTGTGCCAGGCTAGGTGCACTTCGAGGTTTTCACGTTCAGCGTCGGAGACTCCGTTGCTGGCAGGAGGTCACGGGACAGGCCCCGGGGTGAACCAAACCGAGATGACTGTCAGATGCACCACCTTGCGCTCCCCCCCCCCACTGTGATAAAGACAAAGGTCCACCGTGTAGCCTGAACAGACTGTTGGGGCAAGTGCTGTTAGCGAGGCCAGCACGGCACACGAGGGGGTGGGTGGCCAGCACCACGCCCGCGCGCCTTTGTCTCCCTCTAGTGTGACGTACACATGCAGCAGCAATAACGACCACACGTACGGGAGACGCGCCAAAACAGCAGTCCGTTGACACCTGAGTATGATGCAATACATAGAATGAATAATACATACTCACATTATGTAAAATACACACAAATTACACAGCCGTGCACATCATACAAAGCACGCATACTGCAGTGTGCATGCACAGAAACAAGACAAAGATCCCCGTATAGCCTTCAACATGCTGTCGGGGGCAAGTGCTGATAGCGGGCACCGATTATGAAGGCTGGCACGACACACGAGGGGGGGGGGGTCAAACAGCACGGCCGCCTTTGTCTCCCAAGAGCTGTGATGTTTACCACCCCTTCATAGGTGCTCGCTAACAGTGCCTGCCCCGACAGCCTGTGTGAGCTAGATGGGGATATATCTCCGTCTTGTTTATACAAATAAACACACACACACAGCACCCATGGATACATTGACAAATGATTCATTAAAAACAAATCTGTAATTACCCATACACGTTATGCACACACAACACACGAATCTCAATGGGCTCAATAAAGGACACTGCGTGAGACTGAATGACTGAATAATGCATCCCAATCCCATATAGCACAGCACACGTTCACGAATCTCAATGGGCTCTCCGCATGGCTCAGTACAGGGCAACGCACATGCACACAAAGACTGCCTGTGAACAAGCAGACTGGCTGTGAACAGGCAGTCTGTGAACACTGCCTGTGAACAGGCAGTCTTCCTCGCAAGCTCAGCAGTGGTTGAGCCTGCAGAGCTTGGACACACACACAGAGACACACACACTAGCACACACAGTGACACACACAGTGACACACAGTGACACACACTAGCACACACTAGCACACACTGAGACACACACTAGCACACACAGTGACACACAGTGACACACACACAGAGACACACAAAGATCCCCCGTATAGCCTTAACAGACTGTAGGGGCAAGTGCTGTTAGCGAGCACCTATGAAGGCCGGAACGGTACACGAGGGGGTGGGTGGCCAGCACCACGCCCGACCGCCTTTGTCTCCCCAATGGCGATGTTTACACACCGCACCAGGTACTATTTAAGGCTGAGTCGACCTAGGAGAGGCCCAGGACCGGTTCAGATAATCGTCACTGGTGTTAGCCGTGAGCGGGAATCGAACCCGGGTCGCCAGGTTCATAGCGCAGCGCGCTAACCGCTACACTACCGCTCCCCACGACACACACACACTAGCACACACAGTGACACACACACACAGAGACACACACACTAGCACACACCAGCACACACACAGACACACACACTAGCACACACACAGACACACACACACACTAGCACACACAGTGACACACACTAGCACACAGACACAGAGAGACACCCACACTAGCACACACACTAGCACACACAGACACACAGAGACACACAGACACACACACACTAGCATACACAGACACACAGACACAGAGAGACACCCACATTAGCACACACAGACACACACACACTAGCACACACAGACACACACACACACACTAGCACACACAGACACACACAGACACACACACTAGCATACACAGACACAGAGAGACACCCACATTAGCACACACAGACACACACACACTAGCACACACAGACACACACACACTAGCACACACAGACACACACGAGCACACACACACAAGCACACACAGACACAGAGACACACAGACACAGAGAGACACCCACACTAGCACACACACACACAGAAAGACACCCACACTAACAGACACACACAGAGACACACACACAGACACACACACAGACACACACAGACACAGAGAGACACCCACACCAGCAGAGACACACACACACACAGAGACACACACACACACAGGGACACACAGACACACACACACTCTGTCTTTCTCACCATTTTGCCGCACGGCCTCTCGCAGCAGCTTCGCTGCGGACGTCTCGTGGATGGCGGAGAGCGGCGGAGCAGACAATGGGGGATCCCCCCGATCCCCCCATCCCCCCATCCCCCCCGATCCCCCCTCCCCTCCCGATCCCCCCCATCCCCCTCCTCCTGTTCGTTCTGCACCTCCCACCCACGCCGTCTCCTCCACGCTCCCTCCCTCCCTCCTCCTGTTGTGCCCTCATCAGCTCCCCTCCCGCCTGCCCCCCATGCTCTCCGTTCCCCCTCGACCCCTGTTGCCTCCCAGCTGTTCTGCCTCCCCTGTTCTACCCCCTCCTAATTGTTCCACCATCCATACACCCCGCCCCCTGTTCTACCCGCTGTTCCCCTCCCTTCTGTCCCCCCCGTCCCCCCCCCTTGTTCTACCCTCTGTTCCCCTCCCTTCTGTTCCCCTGCCTTCTGTTCACGTGTGTGTGTTGTGTAGACGTGTGTTGGTATACACGTGTGTGTGTGTTGGTGTACACGTGTGTTGGTGTACACGTGTGTGTTGGTGTACACGTGTGTGTGGTGTACACGTGTGTGTGTGTGTTGGTGTACACGTGTGTGTGGTGTACACGTGTGTGTGTGTTGGTGTACACGTGTGTGTGTGTTGGTGTACACGTGTGTGTGGTGTACACGTGTGTGTGTGTTGTGTACACGTGTGTGTGGTGTACACGTGTGTGTTGGTGTACACGTGTGTGTGTTGGTGTACACGTGTGTGTGGTGTACACGTGTGTGTGTGTGTTGGTGTACACGTGTGTGTGTGGTGTACACGTGTGTGTGTGTTGGTGTACACGTGTGTGTGGTGTACACGTGTGTGTGTGTTGGTGTACACGTGTGTGTGGTGTACACGTGTGTGTGTGTTGGTGTACACGTGTGTGTGTGTTGGTGTACACGTGTGTGTGTGTTGGTGTACACGTGTGTGTGGTGTACACGTGTGTGTGTGTGTTGTGTACACGTTTGTGTGGTGTACACGTGTGTGTTGGTGTACACGTGTGTGTGTTGGTGTACACGTGTGTGTGGTGTACACGTGTGTGTGTGTGTTGGTGTACACGTGTGTGTGTGTGTTGTGTACACGTGTGTGTGTTGTGTACACGTGTGTGTGTTGGTGTACACGTGTGTGTTGGTGTACACGTGTGTGCTGTGTACACGTGTGTGTGTGTTACACGTGTGTACACGTGTGTTATGTACATACGTGTATACACGTGTTGTGTGTAGACGTGCAGGCCAGCACTAATCGAAGTTGTAATCGATAAGGGTCGTAGCACGCTTCGTGAATTGAGCAAGGTTGTATGCATGTCTGTTGAACTTCTTTCGCACCGTACGTAGCCAACCGTGCTAATCGAAGCTGGGTGGAGTTTGGGGAAGAGAGAGGGTTGGAGGGGATTTGAAGGTGCAGGACATATTGTGACCTGCGGTGTGGGGAGTGAGTGAGTGGGTGAGGATGTTGTGACGTGCGGTGTGATGAGTGGGTGAGTGGGTGAGTGAGTGAGTGGGTGAGTGGGTGAGTGGGTGAGGGTGTTGTGACATGCGGTGTGGTGAGTGGGTGAGTGGGTGAGTGAGTGGGTGACTGAGTGACTGAGTGGGTGGGTGAGTGGGTGAGGATGTTGTGACATGCGGTGTGGTGAGTGGGTGAGTGAGTGAGTGAGTGGGTGAGTGAGTGAGTGACTGAGTGGGTGGGTGAGTGGGTGAGGATGTTGTGACATGCGGTGTGGTGAGTGGGTGAGTGAGTGAGTGGGTGAGTGAGTGAGTGAGTGACTGAGTGGGTGGGTGAGTGGGTGAGGATGTTGTGACATGCAGTGTGGTGAGTGGGTGAGTGGGCGAGTGGGTGAGTGAGTGAGTGGGTGAGTGAGTGACTGAGTGGGTGGGTGAGTGGGTGAGTGGGTGAGGATGTTGTGACATGCGGTGTGGTGAGTCAGTGGGTGAGTGAGTGAGTGGGTGAGTGAGTGGGTGAGTGAGTGGGTGGGTGAGTGAGTGGGTGGGTGAGTGAGTGGGTGAGGATGTTGTGACGTGCGGTGTGGTGAGTGAGTGGGTGGGTGAGTGGGTGAGGATGTTGTGACATGCGGTGTGGTGAGTCAGTGGGTGAGTGGGTGGGTGAGTGAGTGGGTGAGGATGTTGTGACGTGCGGTGTGGTGAGTGAGTGGGTGAGTGAGTGGGTGAGTGAGTGGGTGGGTGAGTGAGTGGGTGAGTGAGTGACTGAGTGGGTGGGTGAGTGGGTGAGTGGGTGAGGATGTTGTGATGCGCGGTGTGGTGGTTGAGACAAATGAGTGTGGCAGTCCCAGTCCTCTCTCCGTGGCTGGAGAGGACTCGGCGAGTGAAGTCCACTGGAGCAGTTGCCGTGCTCGGAGCGATCGTTGAGCGAGCAGGAGGCGACTGGTCCACCACCTCGCGCCTGTTGCTTCACGCCACGAGTTGTCACGTGCAGTGCCGATGCCGACCAAATGCACGATCGTCGTTACATCCCAATGGCGGTGCACACACAAAACAAAACTGTAATTGTCCCGGCAGAGGCGTGAGTGGGCTCACAGCGAGGCACACACACACACACGTCTTGAGCGAGCTGCGATGGAGCTGTGAGAAAGGAGATCGGTGGAGTGGTGTTCGTGTCGATTTGTCGCCGTTCTGATGATTCTCGCCGAAGGAGTGGCACGAATTGCGTGGCGCTGTTGCGTTGGCAGTGATGCTCACGTTCCAGAGGCCTGTTCCAAAGTCAATTTGCAACTTTAAAATGCCCGTCGCTTGCAAACACGTTGTACGGCACGTACACTAAACACGGCGAATTACTTTAAAAGTTGTCTAATCTCCTGTATATGCCAGATGCCACTGGTTCTTCACGTTCTGCAGATGTAGATGCCACCACCCCATAGGCAACTTGACATACGGACCAGGTTCGTAAGTTGAGTCCCTGGATACATATATGATCTATGATAGTCGACGTTTCTGGCGATGGGCCTTCTTCACAGCACACCTCTCTATGGTGCCGTGAAGGGCCACTGCCCAAATCGTGGCCGATGATCGATCGAATGTTTCCGTCAGACCACACGCGCACTCGGTGTGGCTGCGCTGTAACCAAGGGAGCGTTTCGCTTCGCGTGGAAGGAAGCCGCACGGTGTCCGGAGTAAACCCACTGATCGGACGAGGGGGGTATCGCTACAAGGTCCGCACAGATGCGTTGACGAACCCACTTGCTGTGCTGCCATCTCCTGGCCACCTGTCAGGGTTTCGAGGCTTTTACAAATCACTGCATGGCTCACCAACCCTGGGAGTGGGTGATGGGTTACTGGTCTGGCCAAGAGAGTGGGCGACTTCCATGTCTGGGCTAGAGAGTGGGTGCTGATTTCTAGGTCTGTACCACACAGTGCGTGGTGAGTTATCGATCTGACTTCAGAGTGTGTGATGAGTTCTGGTCTGTACTACACAGTGCGTGGTGAGTTATTGATCTGACTTCAGAGTGCGAGATGAGTTCTGGTCTGTACCACACAGTGCGTGGTGAGTTATTGATCTGGCTTCAGAGTGCGTGATGAGTTCTGGTCTGTACTACACAGTGCGTGGTGAGTTATTGATCTGGCTTCAGAGTGCGTGATGAGTTCTGGTCTGTATTACACAGTGCGTGATGAGTTATTGATCTGACTTCAGAGTGCGTGATGAGTTCTGGTCTGTACTACACAGTGCGTGGTGAGTTATTGATCTGGCTTCAGAGTGCGAGATGAGTTCTGGTCTGTACTACACAGTGCGTGGTGAGTTATTGATCTGGCTTCAGAGTGCGTGATGAGTTCTGGTCTGTACTACACAGTGCGTGGTGAGTTATTGATCTGACTTCAGAGTGCGTGATGAGTTCTGGTCTGTACTACACAGTGCGTGGTGAGTTATTGATCTGGCTTCAGAGTGTGTGATGAGTTCTGGTCTGTATTACACAGTGCGTGGTGAGTTATTGATCTGACTTCAGAGTGTGTGATGAGTTCTGGTCTGTACTACACAGTGCGTGATTGGTTATTGATCTGGCTTCAGAGTGCGTGATGAGTTCTGGTCTGTATTACACAGTGCGTGATGAGTTATTGATCTGACTTCAGAGTGCGTGATGAGTTCTGGTCTGTACTACACAGTGCGTGGTGAGTTATTGATCTGGCTTCAGAGTGCGTGATGAGTTCTGGTCTGTATTACACAGTGCGTGATGAGTTATTGATCTGACTTCAGAGTGCGTGATGAGTTCTGGTCTGTACTACACAGTGCGTGATGAGTTATTGATCTGGCTTCAGAGTGCGTGATGAGTTCTGGTCTGTACCACACAGTGCGTGGTGAGTTATTGATCTGGCTTCAGAGTGTGTGATGAGTTCTGGTCTGTACCACACAGTGCGTGGTGAGTTATCGATCTGACTTCAGAGTGTGTGATGAGTTCTGGTCTGTACTACACAGTGTGTGATGAGTTATTGATCTGACTTCAGAGTGTGTGATGAGTTCTGGTCTGTACCACACAGGGCGTGGTGAGTTATTGATCTGGCTTCAGAGTGCGTGATGAGTTCTGGTCTGTACTACACAGTGCGTGGTGAGTTATCGATCTGACTTCAGAGTGTGTGATGAGTTCTGGTCTGTACTACACAGTGCGTGGTGAGTTATTGATCTGGCTTCAGAGTGCGAGATGAGTTCTGGTCTGTACCACACAGGGCGTGGTGAGTTATTGATCTGGCTTCAGAGTGCGTGATGAGTTCTGGTCTGTACTACACAGTGCGTGGTGAGTTATTGATCTGGCTTCAGAGTGCGTGATGAGTTCTGGTCTGTACCACACAGTGCGTGATGAGTTATTGATCTGGCTTCAGAGTGTGTGATGAGTTCTGGTCTGTACTACACAGTGCGTGATGAGTTATTGATCTGGCTTCAGAGTGCGTGATGAGTTCTGGTCTGTACCACACAGTGCGTGGTGAGTTATTGATCTGGCTTCAGAGTGTGTGATGAGTTCTGGTCTGTACCACACAGTGCGTGGTGAGTTATTGATCTGGCTTCAGAGTGTGTGATGAGTTCTGGTCTGTACTACACAGTGCGTGATGAGTTATTGATCTGGCTTCAGAGTGCGTGATGAGT